TTCTGCTATACATCTTTCTGCCACGAATAGGTTCCAATTTTGGTTCTTGATCAAGGTCGGAAACACTTTGAACAACTTCTTGATCGGAATCCTTGAGATGTGGTTTCTTAATTTCCACAGAGTCATCCTCACTATGAGTTTGAGGTTGAAAAGTCTTAGCTAAATTAGGCTGTGGCCGATCGGAGGATTTCAGGGAATCACGCGTAGTACAGGCCGTCGCGTCAACTTTAACGGAAGCCACAGAAGAATTTGCTTCACTGTCTTGACTTGGGTCCAGACTAAATGAAGATTTCAAACGAACTGGCCTTGAAGATTTATTACGCACACTGTTATCAGTGTGTCTAGCTGACTCACGAATAAGATTCTTTCCGTGTGGTCTTTTACCACGCATATCGCACTCGGAACCGGATTCAGATGTTTCTTCAATAAGTTGAAAATGTGGAAATGTATCTTTGGCTGTGACGGCATGGATCCCATCCAAGGGCTTTATGGATTTAGACTCCAAGTTGGGAGGCTTGGATGACCTCTGGCGTGGTCGAGGATCTTGAGTCCTAGGTGGCTCACAAATAGGATCTTTGACAAGATGATGTCTATCATCGGCCTCCTTATCGTTCGTTCCATTATGTTTAAATGCTTCGCTGGTAAATGATGAGGTACTTAGCTCAGGTGTGACTATTTTTTCACTAATCAATTCATTGCAAATTATCTCGCAAGAGATATCATCTGGCTTAATCTCCGGGAGGATGTCATTCGATTGTGAGTAGGATGGAGGCTCTAGTAACCCAGGGGGGGGCTCGGGGGCTGGGGATACATCCACGTTTTTGCCAGCAGATTCTGTGATTGTCTGGTATGAATGCGGCAGCCCCTGCTCGACACTTTGTTCAGGTGCGGACCGAAAATCAACAGAGTGTAGGGGAATCGAGATCGAGATAGTGGAATCGGCCACAGGTGACTGAGAGGAAGCAGGTGTTTGATCTATTGCGGCAGGAAAAGAGGCGTACGAGTCAGATGAAGTAACCAGCGAAGAAGTATTTTCAGGAATGCTTGGAGTTAATCCGTCAGTCACTATCTGCTTTTTGTCGTCGGCTGAGTTTGATGGAGGAGCTTTTTTTCCGAGCAGATCAAATTTAATTAGAGATTTTGTCTGCCGTGTGGCATTACTAGATGAATTAGCAAGCGACGGAAGATCTATATTCTTCTTTGTGACAGGATCAACTATGTTTAAGGCCCTAGAACCCTTTGCCTCTGGTACTCGCTGAATTTGCTCGAGTGGATGATGAACCACCGGAGAGCAATTATAAGGATATTGGAAAGAACCATTCCAAGTATTGAATATGGTGTTCTGATTGAGAATTTGTGAGTGGTCATGGGGAAAGACGCTATGATGGCCCGAGAGCACGGGAACAAAACCCTGATAAGCATCTAAGAAGATAATACAATTAGCCAAAAAGAACAATACCTTGACGAGGAATTGGCTGTCGTTTCAAAAAATAAATTAGATTAAAAAGTAAAGAAACTGATCAACCTACGTAAAATATTCGCTGAAACCAAAATTAGTGGACAAAACAGATACTTACTAACTGTTCATTGGTATATGGCGAATATGCATTGCTAAAAAATAAATTACGAAAGAAACGCAAACTTACAAACTTGATCCTTGGTGTTGATCCGTCATTTAACAAGATAATTCAATATTGAGTATGGTGTCAGGCCTACCTAACCACGGAACATAAGAGACGTGGATATGAGTGAAGTAAAACAAAGATCATTTATGCTTTAAATGTAATAGTTGAGCTATTTAACAAGTAATAACAGTTAATATTATTTTATAACTAACTTGCAAAACACAGTTTAAAGATTTACTAAATAATGCATTTAAATATTTTTGATTCAAAATTCACAATTTAAAAAATATGATAAGACTAGATTATGTCATAAATGCTAAAATTATATTTTTGTTTTTGCGTTATAATATTTCAGTGTCTATTTACTTTTCTCGCCGCGCTCTTAGAATGCCCCTCAGACATAAGGGTTTGTTACGTAATTTTAGATTCATTTATTAATTTACGTCTAGATGCTGCACGTGCATTAAATTTACTCCTAGAATACCGAAATCGACTTAATACTAATTCTGAAAAGTCTCTTAGAAATGCAATGGATAAACTTATTTCCGTTTTACAAAATCCCATTTTCTGTGCCCTCCTAGGTATAATGCTGTATATTTATCATGATTCAGATATACAAATATATTACCAGGCGCTTTTAGGATATATAAATCACAAAGACGAGGTATATTTTGACAAAATTAGTCAATTTGTTAAAATTTAGCATCTTCATCATGAATAATAATTTAGGTAACACTAGGTATAGCTTATACAATCACAAATAACTATTTAGGTATTGTATCTTGTTGTCATTTACATTTGTTTTGAGTCTGTTGTTTTTCTAATAATTGTATAAATATAGAATTTTTAATTTCTATGATTCATTTAATTAATATATTTTTATATTAATTCAGGATTTAACCCCAAACAAGATTTCAAAAGAAGGTATGATTTACGAACCAAATTCCGGTAATTCTTATATCTGCGTACATAATGCATGTTTTTTGCTGCTATTATGCCATAAATGGGCCTCTCATATCACTTGCTTTAATATTACACAAGATAGCAAGCTACTTTGCACATTTTTTCGTACTTAAAAAAGGACCAAGGTTCTAAATTGTATATTTTTAAAATTATTATGGAGACGTTATTATCTACGGATAATTTACGCTCAAATAGGTTAAAATTATATTTGGCTCTATTGATTCGTAATCATTGTTGCTAGATAAACTCAATGTACCTTCCTATAAACTTTATTTAACAGGGATTTTTCTTTGTTAAAAGATCAGCGACATTAAATGAAATAATACTCAGTAAAATTGGCTTGTAGTGATTCTTATGGCTGTCAGTACTTTTATCCTGTTTTCTACACATCAGACACTCCAAACACTTTCTTAGTCTACACAGAGACCACTTAGGATCACCTATTATTCTGGCCTCTCTGATTATCGACCACTCACATTCTCAAAGACTGTACTGATCGTATCTGCATGGTTTCCAAGCTTACAGTTTCCTGTTTTCCTCTCATATTACTCATTCCTTTTAATCATTGCAATAGATACAAACAGCATCTATATCATTACAACCTGGCTATGTATACCTTTTAAATTCTATTCAAATTTTACACTACCTTTTTCTGTCTTCTAGCCTTTATTTCCATATGAGAGCAGATTTCCTCAATACCATTCCTCAACGTAGTTGAATCATTTTAAGTTTACTTCCTAAATATGTCTATATTGGTTAATTAATATCGAGGCAAAGATGTTTTGTTATCTCACCCTATTTCATTGCATAGAATCGATATACTCTGTTTTTCTAACTTGGTGACGGAGG